GAAGGATTTTCTATGGTCATACTTCTTAGTATTTTAGACTTTCAAAAAAGTAAATGGCATTTTTATCTTCTCTGAAGCCCCCTATTGTCAAACTACTTTTTTAAAAAAGCTGCAGTTACTAGAATAACTGACCTTTATTGCAAATTGCCTTCTCTCATCCTAATGAGCCAAATATTTGGAGGAATGATTCTCAGGACTCCAATTGTCCTTCGGAGGTACTAAGCTCTGGTACTTCTCAGTGCTTAACTTCAGGAGGCAGTTAGGTACAGCCTGTGAGATTATTAGATTACTTCCCTGGTTATCAGCCATGCTTGTTGTTAACTAGTCAAAGAAACTTAAAAGACATGAGCTATTCTCTGTGTTTGTATCTAGACAAAACCATTTATGCATATCACAAGTAGCCCAAAGATGATGCTTTTAGGAATGGATCCAATAAGTAAGCTTATTTTCCTGTCATCACTCAACAGGTATTTATGAGCACCTCCTGTCCCAGGCCCTCTACAGGGTGTTCAGTGGAAAAGAAGCCCTTGTCCCGTCCCAACTTCTCAGATCCCCCATGTATCCCACCCACAGTGGCCACTGCTAATCCTGGCTTCTTTGTTTCCTTTCAGGACCATTCTGTACATATGCAGGACTATGTTTGTGTGGGTGTCTCCCCAGCTTTTTTAATCCAAGTGGTGGCGTACTATAAATCTCCATCTTGGAGAATATCTAATTTATTCTTCCTTTTTACTGCTGCAGGTACATTGTATGGTATAGTAAGATTTTTGTATTAGCACTCTGTGGATGGACGCAGGAGTAATTCCTAGGGCTCCCCTTTTACATTCTCGTGCCTTGCTCTCTCTTCCTGCCTTACATTTCCTCTAGTGCACTAGTTTCATTTCCTGAGTGATGCAGAAAATGGGATTCAACTCCAGTACCTTGCTCAGACTCTCACCTTTTATGTACTTCCTGATAGATTCAGGCAAGTTCAAATCAAGTTAGATTTACCCAATAAGGCCTTATTTTTCACCCCACAGACTATTACTAGTCTGTGATTATTGATGAGGAGCCACCTGATAAACTTCACTGCCCTATCATCCAGTTCTTTCAACTGTCAGGGAGCCGGAGAACTGTATGCATTTGGCAGGCACAGCCCGTGTATGGTTTCAGGCTGCCCATGCTGCTCACATGATCAATGTCCTCTCTGCTGGGGCAGAGTCACATTTGGACATAAACTTTGCTCCCAGCCACAGCTGGCTTCCTTTCCTTTTGAGTGTCATTGCTGTTCCCACCATCATGTAGAGACTCTTGGAGATCAGTTGAAGCGTGTTAACCTTGTCTTGTAATCAGCTCCCTCCCTCCTGGTAATAACTGTTTGAAGTGCATCTGGTTTCATTTCTGAAAACCTAACTGTCATAAGGTGGCTTTCTTACACTTGGTCATAAAAAGTAAGAGATAGGAAGCTCCTTCCAGTGTAAGTCCTAGAGACCCTTGGTAACCTTGAGCCTGCTTGTGGTTTCAGCTGCATTTTCTGTCCCCTGTCACTGCTGCTGTCTTTCATGTTGACACCACCACGCTGTGCCTCTGAAGCTCAGTGTTTCCACGTCTCGCTGCCCTCCTGTCTTCACTCTAACCTGCCACTTTCCCTCTCTGTGTGCTTGTGTATCTTAAAGCAGTTTCTTCTCCAAAGCCTGCTTGATGTGTTGGCTCTTCCAGTTGGCATGCAGCGGCAGAATTCACTCTGCTCTTTTATTGTTTCCTCTAATTGGTAGACCAGTGGCCCCACCTGTCTGCTTTGTGTGAAGGGTTTTTATCATGGTGCTCTCCTGCCTCCTTGTCCTGGCAGTGAATAGAATTACATTGGAGTGGTGGTGGGGTGATCCGGAGACATGTTTCTTTTTCAGTTTTCAAAGTTTCAAAACATCATTTTTAAATTGTTTCCTTTTGTTTTTCTGGAATGTATAAATTCAGTTTGGTTCAATTTGTAATTCTTTATTTCTGTCACAAGTCATTTCATTGCCACTTAAGAAATTCAACAGATTTGCATCCTTGACACATTCTGGACACTGTTGTAGATCCTGAAGATACATACTTCTTCCTGGTTCCCAACAAACCGATCCCAGTCCCTTCTAAGGCTAGGCACCCCTGACCTCAGGACCTCCCACTGGGCTCCACCTCGTAAGGATTCCACAGCCTTCCACATGCCGCCTACCATAGGAAGCAGACTGTAGACACATGACCCAGGGTTGGCAGCCCACATCCAGCCAGAGCAGGAACTCGAACGGTAGGTCCGTTTTAGGTGAAATGATCAGAGCACAGCTATCTAGGAAGAGCCCACCTGAGTAAAACCTTGGACAAAGGGTGCAGCATGAACCGGGGTTTATCCAGGAAGAGTGGTCTGGCAGTGCAAAAAGCAAGTACAGCGGTACTGAAGGGACAGGTGCCTGCCTGGCATATTTCAGGAAAGGCAGGAAGGCCTCTGTGACTGGAGATGAGCAAGCAGAATGAGCAGTCGGCCCTCGGAGCCCTGTGATGTGAGCCTTTTAGGCTGCTGCAGGACTGTACTTCGAGTCGAAGAGGTACACTGGGCATGCATGTGTAGCAGACGTGTGAGGTGTTATGTTTTGTGCTGAGACACTATCACATGTTTCAAGACATCTGTGATGGACTGAAGGCAAAACAGCCTTTCTGCTATGCCTTTTGGCTATGAATACTTTCTGCTTAGTCAGTTAAGAACGGGATATGAATGGCACATGTTTTCTGTCCTTCCTCACCCTGGATCTGCTGTGTAGGTTGTAATTATTTAATAAACCTGTCGCTAGGGAACCAGAAGCTATCAATAATTGTAGGCTTACTGAAAAATTCTGTCCATCTTGATTTAATATATGTAATTACAGTTTATTTCAATACTTCTTCCAAAAAGATGAGAAAGTTAGACTAAAATGAAAGGTTGTAAAAATAGAACTTTAAAAATTAAAATTATGGATGAAGAAAATAACAAGTGAGTAATCATTTAGGCAATTGTTATGAAATGATTGACTAATCACTTTACCTGAGAGTTTCATGGTGACAAAACTAAGAAAGAAAACAATGAATTGATGTACTTATCCTTGTCTGATTTTCCCAGACACATTTAAGGAAGACCACTAGTCCTTTTATTTACTTTAATGTAAATTATCATGTAAAATATTCCGTAACATCCTGTGTCTTCACCAAATACTGATCACTTTCTCAAAATAAATTGTTCAGAATGGTTTTCAGCATACTTCTACAATGCTACTGATTTCTTAGGAGCATCACAGTTTTGCTAAAACAAATAGCTTCCCGCTTATTAGTTTATTAACTTAGGCATTCAAAGTAAGGTTGATTTTGAAATTTAATTATCTATTTAACTAGATTGTCAGCTTCCTACTTTTATATTCCTAGTAATCCCCAAACAAATAGTTTTTTCAATCCTTTGTGCTCAACTCCAAATCCTAAAAAGCTCTGAAAACAGAAATTTCATCAGAACTTGGGTAGCAACCTCTTTCAGAAGCAAAAATCTAAGATGAAATAAGAGTTTAAAGCTCGGGGGCTGGGGATTTAGCTCAGCAGCATAAGCACCTGCCTTGCAAGCAGGCGGTTGTGAGTTCAATCCCTGGTACCGATAAAAAAAAAAAAAAGAGTTTAAAGCTCTTTGTTTATCTGATTTGTTGTGAAAAGGCACATATTTTACTACAGACATGGCAACAGATTTAACTATGAGGGTCTTGCAGATTCTGCTGAATGTTATGCAGTATTTGGTATGTACATCTTACTATTTCTCTGAAATCTCCATGTGCAAATTCTGAAACACACATGACCCAGCCAGTTTCAGAAAAAAAAGTTGTAGCCTTGCAATAGACAATTTCTAGAATAGCATAGGGGTCTAGTAAATGTCAGTTGGAGTGAAGGTTGATTAATATGAGGTACTTAGAAATGAGAAACTTTTCTGCAGCCAGGCCTTGTGACCTTGAGACCTCAGGGAATAAAATAGATGATTCAGTCCCTAGGAGCAGGGCACTGAAATGTTTCCTTAATTGTTCTCTCAAGGTTGTAGTAATTGGTCCTTGGTCAAGCTAATAAATCTGGAGAGAATAAAATGTTATTCTATCAGTTTAAATTGTTCCTATTAGTATCCCTTTATTGGAGATTTCGTGTATTTTTTATTTATCTCTATATCTTTATCACTTGTATCTTTTTGGTTTTGTTCAACATTGTTAAAGGTGTCACATCAGCTTTTTTAATTCTGGTGACTTAATTGCAAAAGCACACATAAACAGTTTGAAAGGTGTGAGAAGAAATTCACAAGTCACAAGGGGAAACAGCAACAAAGCTAGCATTCAGTCTGAAATTCATCCACAGTGTAAAACAGATTGCACTGCCAGTGGGTCAAGTGGTGTGTCCTGAAATGGAGTGAAAAATGAATTGGATACAGAAAATGTTTGTTCCATACCAGAGATACAGTGGAGAAGAGCAAGATGAATCAAATATAGGTTCCACCTTCATAAAGCTTATATGTAACATGGAAAACAGGGCATGTTATATAATATAAATTGAATATACAGCAGAATATACCAGAGGGGAGGCGACCCAGTTCATGAGATCAGGAATGGAGGCAGAGTTGCTCTGGCTTGTGAAGGTCGGGAAGAACTGGATAAATGGAGAGGGTGGACTTGCAGAATGCAGGGATGAGAAGGACAGAGGCCCAGCCTCTGGAGCTGTACGTGCAATAGAAGACACATGTATAAGTGCATAAATTATGATGGAAAGTGGTCAAAGGTATGATGGGGCTGGGAACCACAGAGGGAAAAAAGGATCTTTGGGTAAGCTGGATAGGAGTTGATCTTCCATCTGGGTCTTGAAAACACAGGCATTTGCTCAGAAGGACAGGGGCAGGCAGGGGGTTTATTCTAGGCAAAATAAATGAGACACATACTTAACAGTCCATACCAGGGCACCTAGACTCAGTCACTTTTTATAGTGGTCTGTCATTGCAGGTGATACAAACATCCCTTCTGGAACAGGACAGAGTGGAAAGAGTTTGCAGAGTAAGAGTCAATTTAGGACCATTGCACCAAAGATTGCTCCTAAAGTCCTAGCCTCCAGAGTGCTGCCATGTCACTCACCTTCACTTTCTGATCAGGGGACTCTGGGGCCCTCCATGAGCCCCAAGCCACTGGGAATGCCCACCCAGAACTATGCACTGATGCAGGTAGCTGGCCAGGAAGGTACTTTTTCTCTTGTTGCTTTGCCGCCTGTTACCTCAGCTCAGCCAATTCAGAAACCCCAAATGCCTGAGAACCTTAAAGTGCCTATTCCTCGATACCAACCCCTAAGAAGTAACAAAGGACCTAGAAAGAAGTCCATCCTGAGCTCTCCTGAAAGTGGCTGCAGCAGACCTGTTGCCCACACCCAGATGTGCCCTCAGATTTCCCCTTCCCCACCTGCCCATCCTGAACTCCCGCAGAAAGCCAATCCATGCAAACAGATGCCATCACCAGACCAAGCCTCAGGGGGGACCAGCACAGCTCCACTGGTTGAGAGCAGTGGTCATGAAGACTCCACACCTCCAGTGATCGACAGCTGCAGAGATCGAAACCCTCCAGCTACACCAGCCCTGTCTACACCAGCGGAGCCCTCTGCCAAGCAGAGGCTCTCAGATAATTCAGGGAAAGCTAGCCATAGAAACAGGAAGGTACCCAGTGGACCTTCTGCCGTTGCCAGAGGAAAACTTAAGGGACACATAGATCATGGGAACGCCGTGACCAGTTTATCACCAGGCATTTTTGGCAGTGCAGTTCAGTTGATCTCATCAGTTCCCAAAGGTAAAGTACCAATCTTACCCTACAAAAGAATGCAGACAAACAAGATTTGCCAAACTGAATCAGATGCCAGTGCTGCAGAATTTTCTTTATCTGGGTATAGGACAGATAATGATAGGAAATTCTCCATCAAAGAAAGCTTTAATGCAGCCAACAATATGTCTAGCAAGACACCTGTTCCACCAGTACCAAAGCAGATTCTTTGCGGAAGTGCCTTTTGTCCAGCCACCAAAACAGATCTCAACCACAAAACAAAACTGAACGTTGGAGCAGCAAAGAGAAGAGGAAGAAAACGAAAGATTCCAGATGAAGTTTTAGCATTTCAGGGGAAAAGGAAGAAATGCATTATCAATAAATGCAGAGATGGTAAAGAGAAAGCAAAAAACAATCTCCAAGAATCCAAAGACCAAAAGCCAGGGGCTTTGAAAAAATATCGTAACATTATGCCCAAACCTGTGGTTGTCATGTCTGCTTTGCCTCCCCTGGCTTCTCCTTCAGCCACCCTCCACTCTCAGACCTCCACCAACCTAGGACAGGACATCTCATTAAATAATTCAGTCACTTCCAAATGTCTCAGCTGTAAGCAGAATGACAGCCCTTCCACCAAGCTCAGCTCCGTGTTCAGAAATGGATTCTCTGGTGTCCGAAAACCTTGGCACAGATGCCAAGTTTGTAACCACCACTTCCAGTTCAAACAGCACCTTCAGGACCACATGAACACACATACCAACAGGCGCCCGTACAGCTGTCGCATCTGCCGCAAGGCCTATGTGCGCTCTGGCAGCCTGAGCACACATATGAAGCTCCACCATGGTGAGAACCGTCTGAGGAAACTTGTGTGCTGTGAGTTCTGTGCAAAAGTGTTTGGCCACGTGCAAGTCTATTTTGGCCACCTAAAAGAAGTACACAGGGTTGTGATCAGCACAGAGCCCGGCCCTAGTGAAGCGCAGCCGGAAGACATGCCGAAGAGCAGAGACAGACACGCCAGTGATCGAGAGGCAGAGAGAGCACTGGAGCGGTGAGTGTGAACAGGCTGGAAGCCTGGCAAGAGAGGCTGTTTAGTTGGGAAAGGGCATAAAATTTCACACTCAGAAGATTTTACCTCCCATAGTTCTGTGAAGAGTGATCTCATTTGTCTCTGGTTTCTGGTCAGTCATTATTTTAATTATTCTAGCCTATATAAGTTGGCATAAATGCCAGTTGGAGGTATTCTGAGAGAAGATTATTTTTACATCCCAAAACAAAATAGATTATTATGTATCTATTGTGGTATTCTTTACGAGTGATTTCCCCCAGAAACATGTCCACAGAATTTATAACCAAATAGCTCCATTGCTCTGCACTGTGGGGAGTGTACTGCACTGAACATACACACCTCCGATGCCAGAACTAGCCCACTCTGCACGGGCCCTGCTTTCCTCATCAGGCCAGGTGAACTTCCCCAAGTCAGGGCCTGATTTCTAGCAACATAAACAAATGAGCTTCATAATTTGGGAACCTGGTAGTGATTAGTCTTTTGACCAGCTGTGCCCTCAGTGTGGACTGTGTGAACCCATTTCCACACCAAAGAGAGTCCCTCAGCACCTGAGAAGTAAGCCTTTCCCAGCACTGCAGATTCTCTGCCCCTTGTTTCTTATTTTTCGCAATTGCTCAAAATATTTTCTATTCAAGCACTCACTTGAGTAGAAGTCGTACAGAGTATGACTTACTCTGTCATACTCAATAAAAATAAGAGGTGCCTATCGTATTTGTTCTTACTTTTGTAGGGTTCTCTCTCTTTTTTAGGCACTTCTGTTCCCTTTCCCATGTCTGTACTTTTCACCAATGTACAAGGAAATCCACCCCCCCACACTTGTTTTTCTGAAGCTAGACTTTGATGTTTAAGTAAAATATCCAAATTTACATTCAGTGTAACGTGAGGGAGAGAACAGTGGGTGGTAGGGACAGTCACCTCCAACCTTACTAGGTGATCGCATAGCACCTGGTATAGTATGGCCTGACCCTTCCATGTTGACTCTACCTGTCATATAGTGGCTGGAGAGGTGGTGGCTCTTCTGGGGAGGGACACACTTTCCAGGTGGATCCTGGTGCTTGAGAAACATGTGGTCCCAGCAGGAGTGATGGCAGGTATCTGCCATGCCTCTCCTGAAGTCTTCCCAGGCTGTGTACCCAGGCTTCCTATTCACAGATAAGTGTGACTTACATCCCTGAAAGCTGAAGGACAAAGTCCCAATTGTGTTTTTCATGAACTCTTACATAGACCATTTCTTCCTTTTCAGGGAAAACAAGTCAAGCTTGGAAGAAGATTTCCTTCTAACCCAGGCAGACGAAGTCAAATTACAAATCAAATGTGGCCGTTGTCAGATCACTGCACAGTCTTTTGCTGAAATCAAGTTTCATTTACTTTATGTTCATGGAGAAGAAATTCAGGGTAGGTTGCAAGAGGGAATCTTACCCAGCAAAAGAGGGGCTCAGAGAGCGCTGACCAGACACACTGCTCCTGACTGGAAGCAACATCAAAACCAGGTGAAGCCTTGTGCCTCTGAGGAGAACTGCCATACACATCCTAAGAAGAAAAGACAGCTCTGCCTTCACCGTGAGAATGATGTGGAAATACTCAAGGCCAGTGACGGAGGCCAACTGGGAACGGAAAGGCTGAAGGAAGACCCCCAGGACTCAGGATGTGGCAGCCGCCACACGGTTTTCCTCTGGTCTCATTCAGGCTTCAGCTGCCTCCTGTGTGCCCAGACCCTGGGGAGGAAGGAGGAGCTCTTTCTCCACTGGGAGAGCCACCATAACTGTGAGGACCCCTCCAGACTTTGGGCTATTCTAAGTACATTCTCCAACCAAGGAGTGATAGAGATTTCCAGGGAAACCAGCAAGTGAAACTCTGAGGCAAACTGGGGTTAAAGAAAATTTTGCTAGCACCTTTCTTTCAAAGCTTTGTGTTTTATGGTGATACTTAAGTATATGAATCAAATAAGTTAGTGTGAACATTAATGAACAAAGTTTTGTATATTTATTTTCTTATAAAATAAAATATATGCTCTGGGTGCAAATTTTTCTGACCATGTGTAGTCTTATTTTAAAGTTCTGTGCTCTGACTCTTAATAACTTAATTTTAGAATAAATAAAAAGATCGAAACTAGAAATGTGAGGAATGTAGGTTCTTCACATATAGTTTTCAGTAAATGTGTGTGTGTGTGTGTGTGTGTGTGTGTATGTGTCCTTTCCCTCAGATGTTCTCTTCTTACATCCAGATGGCAATTCCCTTTCAATCCATCTATGTAGCATCAAGTTCTATGGAAAATGTTGGTATTTATTAAATTCATTGATTTATTTAAATGTGCTGCAAAGCAGTCTTTTAATATGATTGTCATTTACCATGATTTAAAACCCATGTTTTGGGGCTGGGGATTTAGCTCAGTGGCATAAGCACCTGCCTTACAAGCAGACAGTCGTAAGTTTGCTCCCTGGTACCGATAAAAAAAGAAAAAGACAAAAAATTAAAAAATAAATAAAACCCATGTTTTTAACACTTAGAGTTTTTGTAATTTTGCTCTTTTCTTAAATGCTGTTTTCTTAAATGAAGATTAGATGTTGGCAAGTTTTATATCTATAGTGTTCCATGTCAAAATAGTAAAAAAAAATTTAATACTTTAGCTAATAAAAAAATCCACTTTCTTGGTAAAGACTTATTTTTAAGTAATCATTAGGGTTAGAAAATTTATAACCTGGAAGGTGAACTAGATAGTTCAGACCAGATGTGTGTCTCAACTGTTTTCCGTCACTCCACAGACACTTCAGAGGATTGTTGTTAGCTGATCAATTTTAGATACAACTTGTGCCTTTCAAGCCACGTTCTCTCTGAAAATTGGGAGTAAATGATTGCCTTTTAAATTCCTGGAAAATTACCTTGAATCAGAAAAATTGCCATTTGAAGTATCTGGCTATCCTGGCTGCAGAGACATTTTCTGAGAGAGGGGAGCTTGCCCAATCATCCCACTAAAATCCCTGCCTTTGAGTGAAAGCACCACGCACGTGGCCATCCCTGTTGGCTGAACCTTGGCCCAGGCATGAACCAAACATTTTTATGTGCTAGAAGCTGGTACCCAGCAGAGAAAAAGCTAAATTATATTTGATAGGCTAATGGGTATTAAGTCATCCTTTTTAATGCCTAGTTTTAAGAGCAAATATTCATGGACATGGTGGGGTTGAAATAATATACAAAGGTAAAACTCAATATTCTCTGTTTTTGTAAAGTTTTATAAATTTGAAAAAAAGTTTAGAATTCTCAGAAAGATTTCTCATGGTTTATTGATGGATCACACTTTCTCTTAATGTAGAGTGATAACATCAGACCATCACTGTTCATATTTTTAGAATCCCAGGGTTGGTAATAAAATAGCTTACTGCTCAGTTCAGTTACATGTTTGTTTTTTGGTCCTGGAGACATTACAAAATGAGAACTATCAAGAATACTACCTGAATTCAAACCATGACACTGAGCTTCAAACCTTGAAGTATTTATAGACTATTCAGTCTTCAGATACTTAGTATTTCAGAAATACTGGCCAGCTGGCCAAGGGCAGAATAGTGAATCTAGATGCATATGGAAGCCTAGGTATCGGGACAGAAAGCACCCACGCAGCAAGGCATGTGAAGTCTGACCTCCCCATGGCTAGGGACAAACCCAGCTGTGACCAGCATTTAATCCCATCTCAGAGCTGGAGTCTGTGGACAGTCTCGGGAAAGAAGCAGAGAGTTATAGTAACTGCAGAGGGAGGCAGAAAATATGTTTAGCTCATGATTAAGTGCTCTGACTGGATCCCCTCCTAGAATTCATTTCATCAAAGTGATCAGGTAATCCTAGCTAAATTTATGCAACTCATCAGGGCATGGGTGGGGTGGCTTGAGGTGGGTGGGCTTGAGGTGGGTGGGGGTCAGGAAGGCAAAAGTGGAAGGGTCAACAGCCACGCTGTTCTTTGCTGTTTGTTTGTTGTGGTGCTGGGAATTGAACCCAGGGCCTTCGCTCTGAGCTACATCCGCATCCCTTTTTCTTTTCTGTTTTGAGCTACTGTGTTGCTCAGGCGTGGCTCAGAATTGCAACTCTTTCTCATCCTCCGCAAATGCTGCCGTTAAAGATGTGTACCACCACTCCCAGTTGACATCACTCAGGAGAGAAGGAATTTGGGGGTCCAGAAGTCCTCACTAGATGCCTGAGGGTAGGAGTGGGGATCATTGAAAATTTAAGACTTGTTACAGTTCTCAGAGCCTCGGAGATCTCCTTGTGACACTGGGAACAGCCCCAGTGCCACCCAGGACAAGGGCCCTTAGCCTTACAGTGGTGCTTCCTCAACAAGAATGGCATGTCCTGGTGCAGCTCACTGCCTTCCTTGGGTGTAGAAGTGTTGGTGGCACAGTGCCAAACTATACTTAACCAAAGGCCATGGAGTAGAGAACAGAGTGTTCTAGTAGTCCCTGTTTCCTGTGACCTTGAGACACTGCTTTTCTGAGGCTGCATGTCCTCCTCTGCAGTGAGAGTCGTGGCCCCACCTCCAGGTTGCAAAGAGACTGTGAGATACAAATAAAATACCTAGCACATTTGGGCCAGGTGCTAATAAGCAGCTGGCATTTACTAGGTTTCAGATTGGGAAAAATGATATTTTATACCATATAAAAATAATATGAAACAGCTCAGGTAGACTTTAAGAACAGCAGAAATTCGTATCTTTGCATAAAAAATACATTTGAATTTTGAAATAACTGTTAAAGTATGTTGGGGTCCCATGGAGATTTGCTGAGTGTCTCTTCATAATCAGCACAGCACAAATGATTCTTGTCTGGGCTTCATTTTCCTCAGGTCTCAGCTGGCAGCCCCTCCCCAAAGCCATCCCCAGGTCTTCTCTGGCCCCTAGTCTAGCGATTGTCAACAAACACACACACACACACACCACCACCACCACCACCACCCAGAAGCCCACAGTGGACTTCTCTGCTTCCCACTCTAGACAAAAACCTTTCAAAGGACTGTATTTGTTAAGCCCAAAGCCGTAAGAGTGCACTGCCTCACATGAAGTAATACGCAGCCAGTATTTGTTGGGGAAAACAGTGGATGTATTAGCTAAATACAAAGTACTGCTTTGCTTTTTATGGATAAATTGTCATTAGAACCAGGCAAGGCACATTTGGGTCAGCGCAGCACTTTCATTTTTCATCATGTCTTTGGCTTGAGAAACTCTCCCATGGCCAGCAAGACTAGGTTCTTTTGGCCCTAAATTATTTTGAAAAGTTACTGCACTTTAGATTTGTATTGTTTTATTACCTGTCATGTTTGTTCATGTCCCCTTTTGTCGCATGCTCTCCTATGGACTTTTTCCTGGTTTTTAGCCCAACTGCTCCTTTGTTAAGCTGTGCCTCGTCTGGAAAGTCCTTTCTTCTTTAGCACACTATAAATAATCAAACCTGGGCATTTTCATCCCTACTCCAACTGCAGGCTCCTCCCCTTCCCAGCTGCACAGCTCTGGTCTTCTGTGGCCCCAGTGACATGATTGTTGGCAATAAATGCTCGACTTCATTTATTTATTAGGATTCTCAGATTGGGACTGGTTTGCTCCATTCAGGCCGCTGACGTGCTTTGGTAGGTGTGTATTTTATACTTTTCACTGAGCTGCTGAGAAGAAGTGCCCCAGGAAGGTGAGCAGGGGTTTACCAGAACAGGTTTTTTCACTTCAACTTTACAGTGACTTCACTAACACTGAACAATCAACAGCTTATCTAGGCTCGTGGGGAAACCTTATATATGTTTTAATAACATCTGCCTCTTCAGGAATGTTCCTTTCGGAAGTGAAATGTTCATTGTATCTGGGATGTGGCCATGGTCATGGTGATCCCTGTAATAAAACTATAATCACCATGTCTCCAGCATGTTTTAAATGTGTGTTTAGTATGCAGATGTTGGATTAGGAGCACATCACATTTTCCATCCACTGAAGTGTGAGAATATTTCAACGTGTTGCTTAATCTTTGGAAAAATGTTATTCACTGAAGGAAACCAAATGTGACAACTAAAAGTGATGGCAAGATTACTTGCCTAATTTTGATATGAAGACAAACAGGTTTTTTTAAATTAAATTTTCTCCATCTTCAAAATGACCATCACTGTTAGCTTAACATTCAAGAACTCTTTAATAATAGGATGGCAACACTTGCCTTTTTTCATGTTTATTAGAATTGTAATAGGCATATTTTTGATAAGACATATACCCACTAAGTACTACTCAAAAATATTTCCCTTTCTTTATTCAACACCTAAGACTTGCAGGGAGAACCACTAGGTGTTCCACCACCACCTACAACGAGCAAAGCAGTAAACATGGTCTGATTACTACCTGCGTGGTAGTGTCCATCACCACAGAAAGCTGGCCATGGGCAAGACCCAGGGCGAACTCATGCTACAGAACCATCCCAAAGGTAATATTAGAGGTATGTTTTCAGAAAACTAGTACTCGACCTTCTCCTGGGTTCATCCACTTGAAAGCACAGTTAAATTTTCATAAATATTCATTATTATAACAGAGAAGTTATTCTATAAATGCCCAAAAGACTGTTTTTCACAAGGTTTTCATTCCTTATTAAAGTGTGAGTGGAGCAGGAGAAGCGAGAGGACAGGAATGCTGAGACGAGACAAGGCCTACAGTACTTTTTGGCAGCGGAAGGTGCACTGGGGCACTGGATGAGTGGGGAGATAGCAAAATGTCATGATTTTTGTGGTTCACCCTCAGCAGAGCAAAATGGGACGCTGTCTATCAAAATCTAAAACGCATGGACCTTGTGACCTGGAAGCCCACTTCCTCAAATTTGTCCTATAGATATTAAGAGACAAGGGCATAGATACTTAAATGTTATGGCTTGTATCTCGACATCCCCCCAAGTCTCATTTGCTCATAGGTGTGGCCTTTCAGAAGAGGCTGAAGGTAAACTGTGTGATTGTGGACTGAGGGTGAATGATAATTAGCCCATTGATTGGTTTAGCATAGCTTTGAATGTGGATAATAGG